AACTTCTCCAAAAGATATTGCTAAAGCATTTGTAGATTTCTACAGGTCGTCACTATATAACTTAAAAGACGTAGAGAAAGGCAATAAGGAAATAGAAGAGTTTTTAGCTAATCTTAAACTTCCAAAAACCCTTTGGCACCCCTGTTGTATATTCTCACGATTGAACCTCTAGCTGGCATGATTAGACAGAATATTCATATAAAGGGGATTAAGATACATAATGAAGAAATTAAAATTTCTCTTTTTGCAGACCCCCTAATTTCAATTCCATCGGTTCTAGAAACTATATCTTGTTACAGTAGTTTTTCAAATTATAAGATTAATATAAAAAATCTCAAGTGTTATCCTCCTTTTTATCTATGGCTCAAGAAGAACTTCTGACCCTACGATTCCACTTTTCATGGAAAATAAATAATATTGACTATCTAGAAATTAAAATCTCTTTTGCTATTGAAAATTTGATACAAATTAATTATGATATCTTATTAAAGAAATTTCAACAACAGGTAGATAATTGGAAGAAGCTAGAGGCCTTGTGGAAAGGCAGATTAAACATGATCAAAGCATTCCTTATACCAAAACTTCTTTACCATTTTAGGGCATTATCTTATAGAGTGGGAAAAGGTGTCCTCAACAAGTTCCAAAATTTATTTTCTAAGTATATCTGGCTAGATAAACAGCCTAGGATATTGTATGATACCCTTCGGAAAAGTTATCTAAAAGGGGGTATATCCTTCCTGGATGTCATTAAACTTCATGAAGCAAGCATGTTATCACATCTATCTTTGTGGCTAAATCTAGAAGTTGAAAAGCAATCATGGTCCATCCTAGAACAGGAGGATAGTCCTGGACATAAACTATGTATCCTCTTGTGGATTGGTATTTTAAAGCAGGGGGTGCTGGATACTGATGTATATTCTAATAAAATCCTTATAGATATGATCAATACTTCCAAAATTGTTAGTAAAAACTTAAAACTACAGGATAGGACTAGTATATAGTGCCCCCTTGGAATTGTTGCAATACGTAATAAAGGATATACATGTTCAATCATGGATTCACAATGGCATATTGAAGATTTTGGATTTATATGATAGGGCTACTCTTTTTCCATTTAAAGTATAATCTCCCATCTAGAGATCTCTTTCAGTACCTATGGATTAAACATGTTGTAATGTCTAAAACAATATTCTATAACCACAATATAGACTCTTTTATAAATCTTTCTAAAATGAAGGGAGGATCTCTAGATATATTAAATTGCTAGAATCAATGGAAAAAGAGTCCCAAATAGTCCCATTTATGAAATGGGAATGTGATCGTGGGAAAGCTTCCCCTCTCTCAGATTGGACCAAAGCCACTCTATTAGCAAAGTGTTGCATTCATAGTATATCCCTCTTTGAAGTACATCTGTAGATAATGTATAGGTGGTACATGGTTCCAGCAAGACTTTACAAAATTTCTACTGAGTATTCTAATGAATGTTGGAGATGTGGGGAAGAGGTTGGATCTATCTATCACATCTGGTGGGATTGCATAGGTCTAAGGAATATTAAAATTCAAGTTCCTTATTTCCGGAAGTAAAAGAAATTTGTCCTCAACTGTTTCTTATCAATATTGACTTTCTATCTCAGGCTAAAAGTCAAAAATTCCTTCTCACGCACATATGCTTTGCAATCAAAATCTGTATAGCTAGAGCTCGGAAATGTCCATCGCCTATATGATGGCAGGAGATTATGGAACAATTAGAATTTCTGTATAGGATGGAACATAACTTTATTTCTAATGCTGGAATTCGAATAACTTATGCAAAATTATAGCTACCCTGGAAACCAACCAATAAGATGAATATAACATTTAGCAGTTTTCCCTGTTTGGTGTGACCTCATGTCGAGTCTAAAGGAAAAAAAATATTTTCCTTTTTTTTTGGTCTATCATTTTTTCTCTATTAAAGGAACACTATAGTCACCTAAATTACTTTAGCTAAATAAAGCAGTTTTAGTGTATAGATCATTCCCCTGCAATTTCACTGCTCAATTCACTGTCATTTAGGAGTTAAATCACTTTGTTTCTGTTTATGCAGCCCTAGCCACACCTCCCCTGGCTATGATTGACAGAGCCTGCATGAAAAAAAAACTGGTTTCACTTTCAAACAGATGTAATTTACCTTAAATAATTGTATCTCAATCTCTAAATTGAACTTTAATCACATACAGGAGGCTCTTGCATGGTCTAGCAAGCTATTAACATAGCAGGGGATAAGAAAATCTTAATTAAACAGAACTTGCAATAAAGAAAGCCTAAATAGGGCTCTCTTTACAGGAAGTGTTTATGGAAGGCTGTGCAAGTCACATGCAGGGAGGTGTGACTAGGGTTCATAAACAAAGGGATTTAACTCCTAAATGGCAGAGGATTGAGAAGTGAGGCTGCAGGAGCATGTTCAATACACTAAAACTGCTTAATTAAGCTAAAGTTGTTCAAGTGACTATAGTGTCCCTTTAATATTACACTAATCTTAGACATAATTTAGATATATAGAAGAAAGAGGAGTGAAGAATATGGTTAAATTACAGAGTATACTAAGATGTTTTATTGACATATGATATTTTGTGTATAAATGTATAGATTTTTGCTGATATTATACTTTTGAGAAGGTATTTGTACTCTAATACGAACAACTATAATATGATTTAAAAACCCTGTCTTAATGTAATATATGTATGTGAAATATCTTGTCTATATGTTTATTCTTGAAATAAATAAAATAAGTATTAAAAAAAAAGGAAAAAGAGTGACATCACAGATGGAGAGCTGAAGGAGATCATGTTAATGAGTGGCAGTTATTTCTCTGGAGGTGATATAAAGCCTATAAATTCAAGTACTATTCATTAGTTTATTACTTTGAGAGCTCACATTGTTTGAGGACAAGTGTTTTACCTGCTGTTTCAAAGTAAAGGTGTTAAATGGCATAACCTGACTGGATATTTTTCTGTTTCTTTTCTTTTCTTTTTGGAGCAATATGGTTGTTAACAAATTGCCATAAGTGGGGTTATCACTTAATGGATACACAAATTCTGGGCTGGGCTTCTAGGGCTCAGGTAACTGTGAGTCAAACACTGGGTGGTTTTCCAAAATAGGGGTTTATCTATTAATATTATTAAATAAGGATTTTCAACACTGTGATGGGCTGCCTGGCACCCCGACCGGGTACCTCTGTCAATTGCTGCTTCCTAGTACTTGCAAGTACCATAAGCACTGCACTGGAACACCATAACCACCGTAAACCCCACGAACCACCACAGCTTGGTTGGGGTCTGGCCGTTCTCCACCCACCCTGGACCCAAGACCAGGATCCAGCTTCCAGTGGGTAGACCTCTCCTAGTCCAAAGAGCGGAGTAGGAACAGCTCTTATAAGAGCTAGTGATTATACTCAGGGGAGTATTGTAATATAGCAATCCCCAGAGTGAATGTAGTTTTCCAATCCCCCAAACATGAGTCAAGACTTCATGAAGGGGTAAACAAATCTCTCTTTAATGGGAGCCACACTGGCCTTCTATGCAAGTCCCCAAGCAAGGTGTACACCCTCATGGACCTTGTTGGGGACAGGGACACAAACTTACAAACCAATAATAACACATTTACAATGTAGGGCACTCCCACACATATCTCTGGAGTCAAGCACGGGCTCCAGAAGATTTTATGTGCATTTTGTTTTATCTATTAATACTAGTCTCGAATATACTACACTATATTCCGCTCTCTTCTTTTATTCCCTTTACTGCCACTCGAATGTGAGAACATCCCTGAATGCGTTGCTTCCTGCATTTCCTTTCCTAACTACATCACCAGAAAGAAGAGACTCTGGGTTGGGAAGTTCAAGCTGTCGCACAAATATGAAACATGCACCAGAAATCCTATCTTGTTATCTATAAACATAAAACTTTTTGCAAACATGAATATCCTTTTAAATGGGCACCCAGAATGTATTTTATCAATCAATTTTAAGTACATTAATTAAAATCTGCATTACATTAATAAAAAAATTAAAAAAACACCCACTGAGTTTCATTTACCCTAAATTATTTTAGATTGAATACCTAGCTTATAGCTAATGCTTCTTTCTGGCTACATTTTATTTAGATCATCAACAGCACCCATGAGAAGAGAAAGGATGGAATATGTCATGATATATTTCCACCTCTTTAGTTAGTGTAGGGTCGTGATTCTATTGAATCCTATAAGCCATTTGCATGAATGATGAAAATCACAGTCCATTTTTCTATGCAAGATGAGTGAAGAAGGTGCAACAGAGATTCGGCAAAGGTTTTGGTTTTCAGTATAAATTATGCATCTGAAAACATAGGTACAATAAAGAGGATAGTTATTTAATTTTCATCCAAAAAATGCATTTCTAGAGCAACTGATTATTCTTTAATTCACTAATAAATATATTTAAGCAACCTCCATTTTATTTCTGCACATTTCATCAGTGAATCAGAAAAAAAACAGCACAATACAATTATACTCATAATAATGAATATTACATTTTTAAATGTTTCATGTAAATGCGAGGTTACATTTATCACAGCATAGTTGGCTTTTTTTATAATACTTGCAAATATTTTGACAGTCCATCAAATTCAGACATATTGTAACTGTTCAGTA